ATTCTAGAAAATTATTTTCAAGCAAAAAGTCGCCCAAATTACAATGATTTTTTCAGAATCAAATTCCTTCTATGATTTTGTCCCCTTTTTGTGTTCTATTGAGGTCAATCAATGCATAACACAATTGCCTTCAGCATGATATTCATTTTGTTATGGATGTAAAAAAGACTTTTATTTTTGCTGTCGTAATTTCACCAAAATAAATATATGGATTTGTATTAATCTAGAGATTTATGCAAATTAATTCTGTATTAAGAAGAATTAAAGAACAATCTATGAGGATTTGAGGCTGAAACTAGAAATAGAAAATTTTTGTGTGGGGATTGCTGGAGATAAATGGATTGTGTTAAAAATGTGATGAATTAATGAAATCTCTGGGGTTCATTTAAATAGAGTGTCAAGTGATAAAATAGAAATTGTATAAAATGAAACAAAACCAAGGATTGGAAACTATCCCAAATATCCTATTTATCCCATGTATCCCAAAAATATTCAAAATAATTCCTGAGCATGTATACACGATAATAAAGATATCCCAACGTATACTTAGTGTATTGGACGTGTAATTTCAGGATATGATGGGATATGATCTTAATTCTAATGCATACAGGCTTAAGGATTATTTTGAATATTTTTGGGATATATGGGATATTTGGGATATTTGGGATAGTTTCAACGCCTTACACAAAACGTAAACTTTTTTATCTAAATTAAAAAAAAGTTTATTCTATGTTTCCATATAAAAGAAGCATTAAACAAGTGTCACATGTGTCAGAAGTTAAACTCACAAACTTCATTCTACATATCCCATTCGCAAAAAACTTTCAATTGTTTTGTGACAACAGTTCTCAACAAATCCCACATGCTCTGTTTTATTACAGTTTAATGCGACTCCTCAGAATTGAGTTTTTGCATTTGCAATGACGCTCTGTGTTGTTTCCATGCTACTTAAGCAGATCATTAGCTAAAATTAATTTTTCCCCTTTTTATGTTGTCTTTCTTCTCTCTCTCATTCGGTACTGTTGTGTTTATGATTATTCTGTGGAAGTCATAAGGGAGACATGTGATATTAATTAAATTCTATTTTCATTTCCGAGAAATAAACTTGTGAGTGAGTAAATGAATGAGTCACTTAATGTAATCTTAATGCGAATCTTTCGGCTGCTGCGTTGGTTAAGTGAATCTTTTAGGAAGATTTCGGATTGAATTTTTGGCTCTTACTTACTGTATAGTTGTGATTCTAATGTTTTTAACTAGGGTCCATGGTGATGGGTCATTGAATGGTGCCCGAACTATATCAATTCAATGGTAGCTTTGCAATATTTGTCATTGTGGATCTGATTAAATTCTCATATTGGTTTTAGACAGAAGCTTACCCAAGGGGCGTTCAGGGTCGAAAATCTCCTATTTTCTAAATGTTTACACCAGGCTACGGACATTTCAGTGTCGACATGTTCGAATTTATTCGATTTAGTGTTTAAATATTTTAAAACCGTTAAAAATGTGTCAATTTTAAGCATTAATATTTAAGCTCAAGTAATTTTCTAAGATAATTTCAGCTAAACTGCGCTAAATAAGAAGCTAAAGATAAGAATCGTTTGTCCAAACCTTGTTTTTGCCAGTTTTGGCAGGAAATATTAAGGGGCCGTTCACTTATGACGTCCAGGGGGGAGGGGGGGCCAGCAAGAAAAGAACAATAGAAATTCCAAAAAATCCATTGTTCTTTTTTGAAAAATGACCGTTAATTTCGGACGTCATAAATGAACGACCCCTAATGAAAATTTAACGGTTTTTGATATTTAAACCAAAAAATAACGGTTTTTGTTGACGTGTCCGTAGCATGATTTACATCAAATATAATTGAAAGTTTTTAGATCTAAACCAAAAACAGGCAGGAAAATGCAACAAACCCACTTAAAAAATTTTCTTGCCATGCCCATGGTTTTAGACTTAAATAATTTTGTATGTCCTAAAGTGTTGTACGTGGTCGAGACGATTAAAGTCGCTAATGTGCTAAATGCATTTTTGATGCTTCCTAAGTCTTTAAGTATCAACTGACTTCAATAAAAATAAGAACCAGTTAAAACAGTCCTTCTGAAAATTACTCTTTTATCATTTCCAAAAAAAAAAGATTCAGACCAAAATTCAACCTAATTTACTTCAAGGACAATCCGAACGAAAGTCTTGTGGGGCATGATTTTTTTTCCATCTTCTTCTTGTCTCATTTTTTTGTGCTGTATCAATTTAATAATCTGACCCGGAATAAAAATCTTCCTACCATGATTAATCATTGCCACATAATGAATGCATGAGCACGAACAGAACAAATTTAAAGGCTTAAAAGAACGAAAGGAAAAAAAAAATCTTTTTTGTGTCCTTTTTCGGAATTTCGCTTTCCATCCGCTTTCTGTTCATGCGGCTTTTTTTTTTGTTATGATTTTTATGCCTCTTGCCGAACAAACAGCAGTAAATGAAAATTAGATGAGATGACAAACACTTTATCGTGAGAAGAAGAAGAAGAAGAAATAAAAATCGCAACCGCTACTCGCGTCTGAAAAATTTTTGATTACAGAGTTGGGGATTTTGAATTTGATTGTGGATTTTAAGGAGGACCCCCAAAGGTGAAGCTTCCCTTTGAAAACTAAGAAGTTACATCTTACTCCGATAAAAATCTAGACACAAAAGTCAGCAACCAGACGAATCGTCTCCAACTATCCCAACTCTATTAAGATAAGAAGTAGACAAACACAAGTGGCACAAACCATCAGCATAAAAAGGAGAGAAGAAAGAATTTTCATTTTTTTTTGTGTTACTAGACAAACAAGAAGGCTTACTTTGTGTGTTTGCTACTTCAGATTTCTTTCTTTAACATTCACTGTGGTATGGAAAATGAAACTATAGCCCAATAATATTTTATGGCATGAAAGTGTCAGAATTAATAACATTAGGCTCGGAAGAATTTTGACGACGGATATAAATTTGCATTAGCGGAGTGAAAGAGATGGAAAAAGAACGGAAATAAAATTTATGAAAAAAACAGAATAAGAAGGAGGAATTTTTTTTGTTGTCGAGTCAAGTTTCGTAATTTCAAACTTTTTACTTTTTTTATAAAATATGAGACGACGATTGAAATTTTGGTTTTGAACTTGAAGCAGACGAAATATTTAAATTATTCTGTAAAGTATTAAAGTAGCTTTTAAAATTTTGCATTTTAAAATACTTTGACATGCTTCAGACTTGACAACATACATAATTGTATAATAAATTAAAATTGAGTATCGATTGACAGCAGACGCAACAATTTAACGGAACAGTTATGCGGTTTCTATATTCAACCATATCAAATTGACATTTTGTACAATCATTGCGCATTATATAACAATAAAGGTCCTGTATATAGCTAATATGGAACCATTCAAAAATGAAAGCTAATAAGGAACCATTCAAAAATGATGTCTTTAGTAAACTGTTTCGTAAACAACTTCCTTCTTAAACGAAACAAAGTCTTTTGATCTTTCCCGAATGAAACAAGTGGTTTAATCGATCAGAAATCTGGCATCAAGCTGGTGTGAGTCTGGCATGGTGCTGGATTTAAATCGAAGCAAGCACCACGTCAGAGTCACATTGGCTGGGCGCTAGATTTCTATTTGATTAACCGACTTGTGCCATTTGGGTTTCAATCCTTTAAAGTTATCTATTTAAATAACTCTGACATCACAAGTGAATAGCCCCTCATTTATGTTGTGGGTGTATTAAAATTTGATCCAATCATGAAATTTTCAATCGAATGCTTATGGTGGATTAGATGTCATTCAAATTAATTAATTTGCCTCAATTGTAATTAAGTTGTTTATAATATTTGATGTAAATGTTTTTAGGCTGTTGATTTGAAACTTTTAAGGCGTCTTTAATTTTGATAACTACCATAATCCTGTTTACACAATAATGATGCTTGATTTTAATTGAAATTTGAATGACGGCTGTTTTCGACATTTTGTGCTATTTGCAGAGTTCGAATCCGGGTTTTTTCGAGTCAACTCAACTTTTCTTGAGTCAACTTCATTTTTTTTCGTTCTTTCCGAAACGAAGTCGATTCGAGAAAAGTTGAGTAGACTCGGTTTTGAGTCAAGTAGAGTCAATACAACTCGAACCTTATAGACTTCGAGCTCTGGCTATTTGTTTATGCTTGTTTTGAATTAGATTTCTTGGAAATTGAATTTAATTACATCAATAGATCTATGCAAATTAACTGTTGACCTTATTATCTGCTAGATTTCTTATAACTTGAAATTATGAGCTGATTAAAAAACAGACAATTTATTAAATGTGACGTCATTTGTGAACCTACCCATTTCTTGTAAATTTTCCTATTTCATGAAATTTACTGCATTTAATTTTGTTCTTCTCAAATATTTTTATTCTGGAAAAAAGTTTAATAAAAAACGAATTTTACTTCGACAAAAACAAACAACTGTGCTTTATTTAAGAGACAAAGAGCCTTATTGCTATGGAAATTCAGCCTACAGATCTTGAAGCTTGCTGTTAAAAAATGATGAGAAAAAAAACATATATTTGCTACGCGTGCAAACAATACAGATTCACGGTACCAAACAGAGCAGATGAAATCAAGAAAGCTTATGTCACATGACAATTGAAATGCTTTCTCGTTCTTCTTATATTTCCATCTCCATTGACTCCTGTCATGTTGATTTAGTTCATTTGTGTTTTTTATATTGAAAATATTTTGTCATTCGTTTGACTTCCCCGAGTCTTGACTTTAATAAGAAGAACACCAGGAAAGCTCCTTTAAGTGAATTATTTTTGTCATTTTCATTGCCAATCATGTTATTTATTGACTTTTCGTGATCTCTTTTGATTTTTTTTTGTCTTGATGGAAATTGACGACAATTTTTTGAAGCTCGTGGAACAACTTTTGTGTGTTATGTTTTGAGACGTCAAGCTGTTTTAATGCGACAGATGAAATGATAAAAATAATTGTGATGATTCTGAACCCCATGAGTATGTCTCCATAGCTCCATACTTTAATTTTAAGATTCAGTCACTTTTAGCAGTGACTGAGCACACATCAATCATAAATATGCGTATCCTTGCATAGAAACAAAAATTAAAACATAATTTAAAATCTTTAACACCAAATTTTCTTCTTTCTTTCTATTTCAGTTCCAGCACGTGTCATATGGGCGGCACAAGATCGTGATGTTGAATTACCATGCGACTTAACACCGCCATCTGTACATGATTCTGTAAAATTAGTATTATGGTTTAAGGATTCTGAGGGTATACCCATGTACAGTTTAGATTCTAGAAATGGTGGAAGTTTAAAGGCTGCAACACATTCAGCACTTGCTGGTATTAGAGGTGAACGTGTTTTCTTCTCCGTCGCTGATAATCCAAAAGATTCGAGATTAAGAATTAAAGCTGTACAAAATGCAGATGGTGGAATTTATCGGTGTCGAGTTGACTACTTTAATTCACCGACACGAAATTTTCGAGTCAATTTGACGCTTGTTGGTGAGTTAAAAAAATTATTTTAAGATTAAGTCAAGTGTCTATGAGCTTGTGGTTATGAATAAATTCAATAAAATGAATAAATCAATAAAGGATAAAAATTGACGCAGGTGTTTACTAATAACATCAACTTTATATCTTCTACAACTTTGAGGAACCTAATGTTCAATTAGATGTTTAAGAGTATTATGTTTATTATTTCTGGTGAACATTAGATCAACATAAAATCTCAAAACAGCAGATTTAAACCCCAAAATCTTTAAATAAGGTTCATAATTTCAATTCTCCGAGGAGGAGTGTCAGGAAGATCAGACCTCCTAACCATCCTCATCTATGACATCATTGAAGATCTCCCTATAATTGCCATATGTGGATACTAATACAAAACAAGTCGCGTTCGATGGGAATCTAACCCACGACCTCAAAAGAGGCGTACTCTAAACACTCGATCAGAGATCCCTGCCACTCGGCTACCGAGGTACTAATCTCACCTGAGCTATCCGTCATACACATATAACCAGCTCAAGCCTATCCACTACAGATATGCGCTTCGAGCCATATCTACAATCATGTTAAATCAATACGATCCTGATAATTAAGTTCAAAGAAATTCAATCCAATATTTGAATCCATTTTTACTTCAAAATAATCAAATTCATGTTTACAGCTTCGAATGTCTCATTCTGTCATGCCACACTTGATTTAATGTAAACATTCCATCATCTCGAAACTAATACAATTTTTTTCCTTAATATTTCATTTCACTTAACGCGTCACGAGAATCTCTTAAGCACAAGCTAGACGTCATTTGATATTAAAATTTTTACAATTTGCATTTTGCTTCGACACAAGATTTGAATTTTAAATTTTCAATCATCAATTTTTCTCTTTTTTTTCATTGCTAGAATCTCCTGAGGAGCCGCGCATATTTGATGCACAAGGAAAGGAAGTGACAACAGTTGCGGGACCATTCAGAGAGGGTCACGAACTCTTTCTCTCATGCTCTGTTACAGGAGGTAATTAACATAAATTTTTGCATCAAGAATTATTATGTCCTTTGTCGATGAAGCACTTAAATCTTGGTTTTTGGCAATAGCAGCGATATTAATGGAATGCGTTGGAGTTTGAGAGGTTGATTTGAAATTAAAAATGGCGCATCTGCAGCTGTAGCTTTGATGAATTAATTCATGTTTATAGGTTAGGATTTTTAAGGTACTTCAAAGTTTTGAATACCATTTGAATCTCTGTCATGTTGATCGACCTCTTGTAGGAATCGAACCTTCTTTAGTTACAAAAACAGCTACAAATCTATGATCTGATGATTTACCGCTCGATAACAAGGGAATAACTCTTACACTGATAGACCAACCTACATAATAAGCTATATAGCCCTTAGTCTAATCTGACACGACTCTACAGATTCTTAATGCTTATTAAAAATAAGAAAATCAAGGTCATCAAGACAAAATAACAAAGTTTCCTCAAAACTACTTATATCATGTGCTTCATAAAAGTGAAAATAAGAAGAAGAAAATAGAAAATTTCCTCAATAACGTAAATTGTTGTTATTATTATTTTCATTTTCCAAAGGCTTTAAGTTATGTATTTGGCGTCAGCACGACGAAAAAGGTTTTCCTCTCTCCTTTCCTCATCTTCCTCGTTCAAATTGTTGTTTTTCTTTCTTCATGCACGACTGTCAGTGCCAGATTATTAAAATTAATAAATAATAATGCACGTAATAGTGGAAGTAGCAGTAGCAGCAGCAAGCTAAAGTGCATGGAAGGAAGAGGAAAAAAAATTGAGAAAACGAAGCAATTTTCCTCGATATTTTTCCTTCCTCAATTGCATTTTGAAATAAATTTGCTGAGTATCGTTGCCGGCACTTTTTTCCACCAACGTCATCTCTTCTCATACATATTAAAACGTGACTAAAGCATGCAAATGGTGAAGAAATTTTATTTTAATAGAAAAAAACATTTTCCACCTCACTCTATCTGCTATGGAAAGCTGATGATGACTTACTATCGCATCGATTCATATATGAAAATATATTCGAATCGTTTATGGAAATGACTCAATAAAATTTATCGAGAAAAATAAATGTACATTATGATGATGATGTTGGTATGAGTTTGTGTGGCATTTTTATGTTTACTTACTCATTTATCCGTCCATTAATTAATATTAATTACATCTTTTCTAAGGCCGCCAATGGATATTGTTTTTCTTTCTTCTTTTCGCTTGTCTTTTTGAGTTTCAATAATGTCTGATGGTTAGGAAGATGGGCAAAATTAGAATTTTATAATGAGCGATTTTAAGGTTCGAATTACCAAAGTGCCAGTGTAGTGTTGCTCAATCAATAAGTTATCAACACACGGTTCTAATTGTAGCTATGGGATCGGACGTAAATGATGTCCAACTTTAGGAGAATTTGAAAGTGTCACTTCAATACCAAAGAAGAATTTTGATATTTGAACTTTGTGACAGAGCGGTCATTATAGACGTCATTTTTAAACGACCCAAATAGTGACAGAACAGCATAAGTAACCCACTTCCTTTAACTTGTCTGCTTACTCCTTACTTCCTTGTATGAGGCGCACATGAGCACATTGTCGCGCTTAGAGATTGTCTGAAGATAGCTCTATACTTAGAAACCTTCTGCCAGTTCGGGATATCAAGAACTCTAGCGTCCTTTAACATATCCAATCCACGAAATCTTCGGCGATCCTCGTGATCTCTTGCCATCCATAAAGCCTGCTCATTTTCATCTCGTCTACTCATTTTAATCTAGGACTTTATGTGGAACAGCATTAGTGACCCACTTACATTAGCTCGCTAGGACAGAGTTTCAGCTTTACTGGGACAGAACTTAAAATTTATATCAAATTTAATACCAATAATACTTTATCAATAAATTCAAATCAAAACAGTCAGTTCCACATTGCCCATATCCAACTTCTCCACCCATTGCGCTAATTATAATAGAATGCGGTAGTTCCACAGTAGAGGAAAGAAATTATGATGTTAGCGCCAATTATTCAATAGAAGCGAATGATTTACAATTAACGCTTAAAAAAAATAAAATAGCGTGATGCCTTGCGATCCTCCCTTTTTTATTGTACTGCAACAATGACTTAATGACATTACGTTTTTATTTTCGTATTTTCTTATTTCCACATCCTTTATGTCCCACTCAATATTTGCTTTTTTTGAACTTTTCTATGTCTCTCTTGATGTTGGCGAGAAAAGGAAAAATAAAAAGCCATAAAAATTGGTTTTAATCTTTCATCAATAATTTGCCTTTTGCCTAGCGCCACTTTTCTGCCAAGTCATTGCTTTAATTGAATGTGGCAAGGATAGGAAAATGTAGGTTAGAATGATTTTTTTAGAGATTTTGTATGGAGCGCAATTGAGGGTTTGGATTTGACAACAAGTGTCAATCAATATGTTGCTAAGTTAGGGACGTAGCAGTTTGGGGATCAGGCTTTCAGGTACAGATCCTTTGTGAGGATTGTAAAGTCTCATATACTTCTTGAAGACGTCATTTGTTACTGAGTAGTCATCGAACGTATGAGACAGTTTCAAGTTTATGTTTCCAACTAAAAACATCTCTATCAGCCACATATGGACAAAAGTCAACCACATGAGCACGTTTCCTTCGAAAAAGATCAAACCAAAATGCGAGTTAAGAAACAAAAAACATTTTTATGGCGGTGACGATGGTGATGATATTGAAGATGAGATACGATAGAAAATAAAAATAAAAATCATGTATATGTTCGTATCCATAAGTTCTTAATCTCCCGCTAGCAAGAACAAAGCAACATTATTTTTTATTTGAAAAGTCTCTTTAATTCCGTTTCCATTTGATCGCTTTCGCTCTCTTTTTATGTCTATTTATGTGTGACGCAGTATTTTATTTTAACTCAAAATGTAAATTTTATTTCGATTTTCTTTTAAAAGAATTTTCCAAATGTTTTAAAAATGAAGAAGCAAAAAAGAATTTTCAGCAGATGTCCATGATCCATAAATAAATCTGATGAAAAAAATAGATGTGAAAGAAAATAGAAGATAGAAATGCCATTGACGAACGCATAGTTTCCTACATATTTTCATCTATGCATGGCTGTATGTGTGATGATATGCAAACGAGAATTTTAAATGAAATAAATAAATTAGATTAGAAATCTTGAAAATCGAGATGAAAGGTGAGGATTGTGGGTTCATTGATTCGACAATTTTTAAGGTTGATGAATCAGATGCAGCTTGTAGCTTCTTAAAAGATGTATTGTAAGCATTTTTGCTGGTTAAATAAGCTTCATATGATGAATTTTGACTATAGGAATCTTTTAATATTGCTTCTGGATTTTTAATTCATCCTTGGAAGTTGACTTTATCCAAAGTTCGGAAACTAGGCGGTATACCGTACCAACTTCCATACAAATATCGTTAAATGCCCCCAAATACCCCCAAATACCACCGAAAAAATCGGCTTCGACCTCTGGAATTAAAATCATGTAGGATCTTGTTTTGATCTTCTGTGGGCGTGACTTGATACTTTTCAGGTCCGTTCTGACAATATTCCATTCATTTGTAATCTTGTAGCTCTCGTTCCTATTTCTCCCACTACACTTCAAGTTCCTAATCCGTTCCTAAATGCAACGTTACCCAACTGCCCAATTATGGTTTGATCTCGTCTATAACAGTGTACAGATCTCACTTGCTAGACTAAAACATAAAAACTCAGCTCACAATGGATTTCTCAAGAATTTCCAGAACATATTGTAAACAAAAAATTACAACATCCAGCATATTCTCATCTTATTACTTTCTCATCACATTAAATTTTTTTTGACAATTTTTCCACGAATCAATTTTTGCCTCATCAATTTTAAATCTCATTTCTTCCTCTTGATGCGAGAAAATCTGTGTTCGCATTTTTTTTTCTGTAGCTATAAATTGAGAAAACAGATTTATAAAAATAAAACTTGAGAATTAAGGAGGATAGGAAAGTGAGAAAGCACGTGAACAAAAAACACATTAAATAAGCCCATTAACATTTTCGAGCTAAATTGAAGTGAAAAATTTTCATTTTCCTCTTTTCTTTATTGCCATTTATTCAATCCAATTTTATTCGACCGTATTTTTAGATAAAGTATTATACAATTCAAATTACTGTTGTTATAATGACTGCCTGTTTACATTACATTCAATGAATTGTTGTAGGTAGGATTAAATAGTAAGTTGAGGAAGGTTATTTTAGATAAATTACACTGAATGTTTAACTAGGAATTTTTATCGATGTTGATGATTTTGTAGAATTTTGCGGGAGATTTTTGTGAATCAATTAAATGAAAGTTGTTTATTGACTTCATTAGGGTTTATAAATGTATGTATTTCTGATTTTTGTCGTGCTAATCGTTATTTAAGCCACTTAAAGGTTTGTGCGTGCGGAATATATGCAGCCCATAACCACATCATGCACCATCCCCACCTTCTCGCGGTGACAGGCTGTTAATCCAAGTCACAGAGTGAGGCAGGGCTCTGGTTTAATAGGTTGTATTGACCCAGCAAGCCACCAACCTTAACCACAAAGCTAAGAAACCCAAAGAGAAGCAAACTGGATTGGATTTATCAACAACGACAACAGCTAAACGAAAATGGACAAATGATTTTTAAATCAACAGCTGGAATGTGCGGACGCTGTCAGGACCAGAAGCGTTGTCAGCATTAGTGCTTGAGTTATGGCATTACAAATGCAACATCACAGCAAAACAAGAGACGATTTGGACCAGACAACATGTCTTTGAATGCCAAAGATTCACTTTGTTCTCGAGTGGCGGAATGGAAAGTATGAAACAGGCTTTATTGTGGATCCTAAAAGGGCTAAACATGTGATTAATTGGAGGCTAATCAATGAGGGAGTTTGTGTGTTGCGGGTGAAAGGCAAGTTCTTCAATTACAATATCGTCAATGTTTACGCCCCACACAACGAAAGACCTGAGGACGAGAAACCGAAAGCTTGAAGAAGCCTATAAAGAGTGCCCGCGAAATGATATTATTGGTGATCTGAATGGAATCACAGGTAGGAAGGGAGAAGTCCTTCAAGTCAACTATTGGAAGACTCAAATCCAATCAAATCAAATCCAGTACCATGTCAGAGTTACTGCAACATGCTTCCGGATTTCTATTCGATTACCCGACTTGTGCTATTCTGGTAAAACTTTGTTGTATAATTCACATAACAAGGCTTATATACGGCTCCAACTTCGTTAGCAATATGCATATTTTTCAGTACAAAGTTCTTCTATCAAAGCATTTTAAAACGAAGTCCAACAAAGTCATGGAAAAAATATAAAATGGATTAAATGCTTCCTCATTTTTTTTCACTAAAATACTTTTAAAAAATTGACTCGAAAAATTCCAACAAAATTGTTTGAAAAATGTGGTTTTTATGTCTTGATTTTCTACAGGAACTGAGATGCTATCGTGCATATTATGCAAATACTTTGTGCTGCTTTTCTGTAAAATGTTGGTGAATTATTTGAGAATAAAAATATCTGCAAAAATCCAAATCATTGTGAACTTTCAATATTCGCGCATTTTTCCTCAGAATTAATTTCACAAAAAAAGAATTAAAATGATGGAAAATCAAATGTCAAGCATCAAAAGGAACAGAATTTGTGATGATTCAATTGTAAAATTGTTTGAGTTCATTGATTGAAATTATTGATGAGCAATAAAAAATTCGACAAAGCGATAAAATTAAATATTTTATGTATCAAAGAGCGTGCCAATTACTTTGTCAGCATGTGATTTAGCATGAAATGTATGCTGGATGCACATTGTTTGTCACAATCCGGGACAATCGAATTAATTTGAAAATTAAAGCATTAAAATAACTTAGACGAAAATTTAAAGTGGATTTATGCAAGATTGCGGAACTGAATAAAATAATAGAACAAAAAAAAATGGAATTTTCCATTTTCCGTCTGCCGGATTTTCGGATTTTCATAAGATAAACACGAAATTATCCAAGCAATTTATACACAAAATGTACACATTTTCCATCCATTTTTATTGCCGCTGTTGCTGTTGCGCTCTTTTGTTCTCACCATTCCGACATTTTTGAATTATTTCATTCTTCCTGTGAACTCATTTCCTTTAATTTTTATTAATAAAAATGTTTTTTTTTATCACATTTATTTCAGGTCGACCAGCACCAAAAGTAACGTGGTGGCGTGACAATGTTGAGCTGATATCCAGCACAAGTCATCCGTCCGCTGATGAAGGAGCATCGGCTGTTGTTAACCAATTATTTATTGGAACTGTTGCGAGAGATTTTTACGGTACACGGCTTGAGTGTCGTGCTCAGGGCTCTAAATTACTACCGCCAGTCGTAAAAGAAATTACTGTTCAAGTACATTGTGAGTATACTGTAAAAATTATTTTTTAACTTACATTCTTGCTTACATTTAATTTGTTTCATCTCGAAATGACTGGGATGTATATAAAATAGATATAAAGGAACAATGTGTAAAAATAATGAGAATGAGAGAGAAAATGTGTAAAAAAAAACAATGTTGAAATTCACATGGCAAGTTAGGGAATTATTTATGAGATGATGCTGGATTGGGAGCGTATTTCAGGAGACAGAAGCTGACCAAATCTAGTTCCTAACCTTTTTTGAATGCAATCCTTCAGTTGAAGAGTCAGAACAAAATTTCAGAAATTTTTGGTTGTAAATGTAAAATATTAAAAGGCATCCATGCTCTTCTATAAGCATATATCCTAAGGACAATTTCCAAGTCCAACAATGATAATGACTGCCAAATTATGCAAATTATGTTGAGATGCTTGTCAGTCTTAATAGCTGCCACAACCGATTTCTAGTCATCTAGGTATTATGTCTGGGTCAAAGCTTCTCAAACTATGACACTACTTACTGCAGCTGAGGCGGTCACAAAACTTGATTCACTAGATTATTGTGCTACATTTCAAAAAGTTTAAGTAAGACTAATCTAGGATCATAAAAGTAGCAATGGAGAAACCTTCATCCATTTTAAGGAACAATTTTCGGCAATAAATCTTGCATCCAAGGAAGAATAAATTCCCAAGGACAAAATGTCCAACATGCTAAGCATTTCATTAAAAACACCTTAAATCCTCAACAACAACAAAAACACCAAATACAATTTTAATCTAAACAGCAGCTATGTTCGCTTTTTTGTTGCACATTTTCTTTCCAACATCCAACCATACGAGAATGGGCTAAGAACAATAAAGAAAACTTTTTTAATTCATTTCCATTTTTGCTTACAATCGCTTTTATTTTATTACAATTTTTTCTCATCTGTTCTGTTCTCTTTTTAATTCTATCCTCCAATAATCCTGCTGCTGCTGTTGCTTATAGTGAAACCAATTAAAGTAAAAATTGTAACACCAAATGAATTGCTAACAGCTGGTCGTCCAACACCAATACGTTGTGAAACATGGGGCTCTTTTCCAGCAGCCAAAGTAACATGGCTGCTTGATGGTGAACCATTGAGACAAGCTGATGTTACTGTAAATAGTGAGGGTGTAGATTCAAATTTAACATCGAGTATTTTGACATTAAGGGTATCAGCTGAGAATGATGGAGCTGAATTGACGTGTAGATCATCAAATCCTTGGTTCTCAAATGGAGCACTTGATGATAAAAGGAGAATAAGTGTTGCATGTAAGTCAATGATGAGATTTTTTTTTATTCTCTTCTTTTCATCCATTATCGTCGTCGTAATAAATTTTCTCTTTCCTCTTTCTTTTATTTCCATATTTTCTTCTTTTCCTTATTTGATGTACTTTGCTGCCGCAACTACTCATTGTATGTACTCAGATCCCCCAACAGTTTCAGTTCATCTTGCAAATGAAGATCCAAGTCGAAATATAACAAGAGCTGAGGGGCAAAATGTAACTTTAAAATGTCGAGCAGATGCTCGTCCTCCCGTGACATCATTTGGATGGTATAAAAATGTAAGTATCTCTCCTCCCGACTTTTATTTTCTCATTCTTTCTTCGAGTTTGACGCAATCATCATTTATACAATTGTTGAAGCATGAAGTATGAGGAAAGGAATTTTGTTACATTTTATAAGCAATGACTTGGCAATGACGCATTTTTGTAGCTTTACAGGATTTTTTTTTGGTGGGGTTTAGGAGGTAGGGTTGTGTATTCTATCTAAGACTGTTAAAGAAAAACTAATTTTAAAGCAGTGTTGTCCAAACTGTGTGCTGCGGCACACTGGTGTGTCGTAGAACTTTTTCTAATGACGATGTGTGTGTGGCTTTGGTATTGGCTTACCCCTAAGGTGTGCCATGGCTCAAAAAAGTTGGACGTCCCTAAAGTATAGGGATTAATTTTTGAGGTTTCCTAAAGAACCCTTAGATTTAAAGTCAATGCACTAGTAAAATTTGGCTATGACTAGGACAGCTTTACAAACCGGATTCTGGTCGTGAATGTAGCTACATGGGTCTTTTAGATCTAAAATCTATTCATCCTGAGCCATCTCTTAACCTCTTAGATACTTAATAGATATAAATCTGTAATTGTCAACCTGTGTGATACGGCACAATAATGTGTCGTAGCACATGGGCTGTCACTTACTAGTGAACATCCATAAAGTGTAATGTGGTTCTAAAAAGGACGAGCAACTCTGACAAAGACAAACTGCAGACCACAATATCTCCATAATTAGCTCACAAAAATCACGCTAATAACAGCAAAAAAATGTATTGTAAAAACGAAACAAAAAAATAAGAAACATGATAAGCTTCTTAAGAGCTTTCTATGTTCTATACTCATTCCATCATTTCTTCTCCTTATTACTCAATGTTGAAAGCTTTTAAATCTCAATTTTTTTCCCTTCCTCATTTCTTTTCTTATATTCACTTCCTTGAGTTATAAGCATCAGTAAGGAGAGGGAAATGCTTTTTATTTAAATCTTAGTTTATTACTACATTATAGCAGTTTTTCTCATCAAAAGCATCCTGCTTATTACATATAAATTGTACTATCGTCGTGATAAAGAGATAAAACAGAAGCAAAGACGAGAAAAAAGTCTTTCTTTAATTTTCTTCCACTTCTTGGTGAAATTCCGAGTGCCTTTTTGCTGCAAATGTAGTTTGCATAATAGATTCAGTTTCTTTTGATTTTTTTTTTTGTATCCTCCTTATTAAAGTACATGGCATGAGATGTGAAGATTAATGGTGGAAATGTCATCAGGAAATGCGATTTAATTAACTTTTAAAATGTAAGATTATTTTTTTTTCTTTTAAAATGTGAGAGAGATGCAGCAATGAATGAGCATGTCAAAGAGAGCATTAAGTTTATAAATGAGAGGGAAATAATTTTCGTACGTAGGAAGCATGAATGGCAGAAAAAAATAATATTTTAAAGTGCTCATAAAATTATGGAGATTTGCATTTAATTTACATTTAATTTTTTTTGGAAGTCATTGTGGGGTCGTTGGTCGTGAACAGATGTTTGAGGGGAAAAAATAAAAGGTTTTTAAAATAAAATAATTTTTTGAGTACGAAGTTGGGGTTCAGAGCAATTTTGTTGTTATACAGCTGTGGAACCTGCAAAAAGTGATAGTCAGAAATATTTGCATACGCCCTTAGCTGCTCATCAGTTAAAGTTAAGGGGGAAAATAATATAAATGAAATTTATTGGTAGAGAATTGATGAGAAACAATTCCTCATCGTGGTAGGAAACTAATGTAATGTTTTATCAAAACTTTTCCGCAGCATATGTAACTTCCTTTGATGATGTATCTTCAACCCTTACCTAATGTAAGCTACACATTTAATGTCGTTCACTTATGACGTCCGGTCATTTTTCAAAAAAGAACATTTCCAAGAATTTCTATTGTTCTTTTTTTGCTGACCCCCCCCCCCCCCCCCCTGGACGTCATGTGAACGGCTCATTAGAGCACCTCTTTATTCTATTATAGTTTGGCTGTCCTTCGGTTATTGCCGATTTTTGGTCAAAAGGCGGGATATGCCCCGAATTCAGTTCTAAAAACGCAGGACAGACCAAATTTCGAACATTTTTTCAAGAAAATTAGGATTGAAAATCGGGACATTAAGAATTTCATTCGGGATTTTGTTCAAAAACGTGGCACTGCTACGCTCAAAAATGCGCAGTTGGACAGCCCAATTCAACTCTAATCAATTAATAATCCAGCTTATTGTAGAGTTTGAAGACTATCCTGACTAGGGTGATCATCTGCGTAGTTTTACAACGGACAGTCCTGTATTTCAAAACCCTGTCCTGTATAAATTTGAAAATTTTGTTCCAGGTCCTGTATTTTTTTCACGAAAATTTCCGGTAATTTTCAAATTTTCCTAATCCTGACCCAAAAAGACAACGAATCAAGAAATATTTTGATCAAAAAAGTTTCAAATTTCTTCAATAAAAGCAGCAAATTGGTAAATTTCAATTGGCCTGAAAATGTTTGTTTAACAATACTTATTTGGTCCCTAAATTCAAATTAGCTCTCAGATTATCCACAAACGAGCTCCCATTCAACAATATTAAATGACCTTTAAAATTAGCTTCCAAAGAAATTCTTTAAATTTTATTACCGACATTAAAAAAGTAAATCCATTTCCAGTGCGTTGAAAATGGTTCTCAAATTTTCAGAATATACCACAAAAAAAAAAAAACAATAACTGTAAGCTAACAAAAAGTAATTCTAGACTGTGTACATAAAGTACTTCAATTTCCTAAATTAACTTGTATCAAGAAATTTATTAGAATTTTCAAAGCAACGCGAGGCAATAAAAAAAAGAAGCAAGAAAAAATACATGAATTGATGCTTACAATCATAATTTTCATTGCTCTCAAATTTCATCATTGCGTAATGGCTTTTTTTTTGTTTCAACAATTTCAGTGCTTTTTATCTTTCGGCATTATTACTCAGGAATTCACAAATGTACATTAACGATTATATGAGATACAATTCCTTAAGGATTTCGAATGGGAAAGTTGGAATTAACTGAACATTTTTCGGATATGTGGATGTGGTATGATGAAAAATTTCAGCCATTTTCATACAATTAATGAGCTTTTTACATGAATGATTTATTAAAGTTATTAACATAAGTGCTCATTTTTATTGCATGGAAGATGTTAAAGGGTGCTTCAGACTTTAAAGCAGTTTAGGGGTTTGTTTATGGATGGAGACTTTCTTATAAAGAGGAACAGGGACTGAAGCTGTGTTATATTTCATATTTGTCAGACATAGACCTGGCAGATCCTAGTATTCAGGCAGACCTTCTTCTATTAACAATTTTAATCTTCTTTCCACCTAATCGTTCCTGATTCTAACGACCAAACCCCATAGCAAGCAGGAATGCCTTAAAATTTCCTCAACATCTCTTACAAAAAAACATCATAATTGCGGATATATTCAAGTCCATTATCATTGAATGCCTTTGTTGCTCACAAAAAAGTTCTTAAAACTCTTTTATTTCAACTCAATTCTCTTAAAAAAGTTTTCAATTTTCATTAACTCTTTTTTTTTTGTGTGTATAGACATTTTAGCGTCATTGTAGACAGCTCCATACAGTGAATATATTAAACTTCCGTTAATTTTTATGATTGCTTTTTTTTCTTTTCTTCTTATTGTGTGTGAATTTTTTTTTATTCATCCTTTATTGTTCCATCTTGTAATAATGAAAAAAAAAAAGAAAGTGGATCTTTAAATGAAAGTCAGAAAGGCATGTAGAAAATGTAAGAGAAATGAAATTATACATTGAAGGCAAAGCATAAGTATAATAAAAAGTGAGAGGATGGAAGTGAAAAAAAATGAAGTAAGTTAGGGAAAAGTAATTTTCTTGGCTCATTTAGGGCGCAAATCACTATAGTAGATGAATATTTCATTGGTCATTTTAGGGACGTCAATGGCATTGAAACAAAGCTTGTTACGTCTACTTCTCTAGCAACGTAACAAGTAAATCTGCATAAATAATACTAAAAATAATGTAAAAGGGTTTCAGCCTGGCGGTGTGTTACTACACGTTGCGATGAGCTGAAGGCACTGCGATCCTGTTCGATGATAGAATCTATTGTACCGTATAAATAATACTTGAAGTGATCAAATGTCGAGAGCTAGTTGGATACAAAGGTGCGGAACTGATAAATTACAATTTGATCATTTCATCAGTTCCGCATCCTTGATCCTCGCTTGTCTAAGTCACCTTCCTGTACAAAACTGACCCCTCCGCACTCTAACTCTCTTACTTTCTTTCTTGGTTGGGGCACACGTTGGCAAATTGCCACGCTTAGAGAACGTCTAAAGACAGCTCAATACTTAGACACCTTCTGCCAGTTCGGGATATTCAGGACTTTTGCGGCCTTTTCAACACAACCAATCCAAGAGTTCTTCGGTCTTCCTTTTGCTCTCTCCATCTACAAAGTCTGCTAGCATCACTTTCAGTACCGAGGCATCCTGCGAGCGGGTAAACACACTCAACACTCATAGTGTACACAAATTCCTTAACGCAATGCTAAACATGTCTCATATAATACAATCATCCCGGCAGCTTAATTTCCTCAAATCAACCCCCAAACAAATAGACAAAATATGGCTACAAGTACCTTTATCATCAATAAAACTTTTCACTTCAGAGAAAAAGAAAAAGAGATGAGTAAGCAGACAAATAAGAGCAGTGAAAATGTGTATGATAACATAATAACAATGAAATGTAATTTTCTTTTGATATGATACATCTTCAAGCTGTTCATCGTTTCTCTTGTGTGTTTTGCCACTTCTGAGACAATGACTGAAATTGCTTTTTTTTTCTCCTCTGCTTCATTCTCATTCATTCAATTCTTCCTGCCTTTTTTCGTATTTGGATGAAATGAAATTATATTTTACTGGAAATTGAAGTTTCTTTTTTAGCTCTTCTAAATGTATGTGCTTGCTTCAAAGGGTGCAAGAAGGTGTGTGGAAGGCAAATGATAATGGCTGTGTGATATGAAAATAGATTATTTTACTAGAATTTGTCTTGGATGGAATAGCTTATTAGATTTTAAGTATTTTTTTGAAATTTCAAGGCAAGGAGGTCCAAAACCTTCCAGAAGTTTTGATAATTTGATTAGAAAAAACTGACCTACACCCCCTCAAAGATGACCAACCTCACTTCTGCAGTTTTACTAGATTCTGTAAACATTTAAATAAAATTAGAAATCAGCAAAAAATCTGGTCAAAATATTCAAAGTCTAGTTTTAAAATTCCAGTGATTAATACAAAAGAAAGACTTTTCATTACTTTGATGATCTTATAGATCAATTGTGATCCATGGCCTCCCTCAGATGCCCCCTAAAACAGGCACAATGACAAGACTCGTGATGCTATTTTAAATTAACTGCCTCCAAAGATAACAGAATGTACAGAAGAGCGAGAGTATGAAGAATATGCTTAATATCATAAAGTAAATACCTCATTAATGTTTTTTTACTGCTCATTTTCTTTATTTTTTATTACATTGAACAGGAGAAGTAAAAAAGAGATGATTTTTAATATCCAAACCTCAAAATAAGTCTGAATTGAGTTGAAAGAATGAAATTTGTTTGATGAAAAAGAAATAAGAAGGAAAAAGATTTCCTCTTTGATGTTTGTTCCATGAAATTATGATGAACAAAAGAGAAAGAAGTTTATCTTGTGAAGCTTTCAGCACGAGCAATAAGGCTCGTTTAAATCGTTTACAGTAAAATTTAATAGAGGTTTGCTGGATATTTATTAGAATTATTTTTGCACCTTAACAATTTATGATAAATTCGGACAAATGTTCCTGATTTTTTATCAAAACAACCTTAATTTTTTTAAGGATTGTCCGTTGGTGGTGGCTGGTGAAAAGCAATTGGCATCTCATGCTCTTACTGTGTTTATTAGTTGACTTAATAATAGAAGGTTCATAGCTAGCACTAGTAATTATTTGTAGATGCTCAAATAAAGAATATTAATGATCTTTTACTAACAGTAAAAGGGGGGAGGGGGATCTGAGGGACAAATCCCCCGACGTTAATAAAAATTTCTTCATTTTGCAAGGAGTTTTATGAAAAAATCATAAAAAATCTCCCCTTTCCTTTGAATTTTCCAAATAAACTTCCCCCCCCCCTCCCCCCTCTATAAATTCCTGGCTACGCCCCTGGTAACTTACAAATAGAGGCTTTGATAAAGGAGGAAATATGATTTAAAAACTGACAAGTTGCTCTTTAACAATAGATCCTTCAGTTGCGCCTGCTTGTAGAGCAATTACCAGAATTTTGTCCATTTGTGTTATTTTTATTTGTTTGGAGAATCAAAACTCTGTTTTTTTCATTGGTCCATAACCCCCAAAGATAGCAACATCATCGAGTCTCTATGTTATAAATCTATTTCCAAAATTTCTCGAAACCTTATCAGATGCCAAACTTAATTACCAATTTCAAACCCCTCAAAAAAAAGAAAACTCTAAATATAGCATCCACAACACACGACTATCCTTTACCTTAATAGATCAATTCTGAAAAATTTCAAACCTTACTTACATTACTAATTTCTCAAATGATTTATGGTTATCAAACTTACGTTTCAAATTGAAAAGGATATCGAAACGCATTAAAAAAAATAAGACGGAGATGATGCTAAATTTTATTTACATATAGAAAGCCCATGACCCTCTTTAATATCAACTTTTGACATTTTCGATCGATTTTTCCGCTCTTAACCATTTAGTTTTGAGATGAGAAAAAAATTGAAGAGCGCCAACAAAAAAAAAGTATATAGAATGGAAATAGAAATGTATGGATTGTATATTAAGGATTGATGTTGTGGAAATTATGGTATGGTATAGGTATAAGTGATATATGCAAATATAGCTATGGAAATAAATTTCAATTTGAATGAATCAAGTGGGATGAAAAAAAAATGTGAAAAGATAAATGAAAATTGAATGAATAAATTTCAATCCGGAATGGAAACTATAAATACCATGACAGTTGTTGTAAATAGATAAATAACATGAAGCACTGATCAATATTTAGGATTCAATCACAGTCAAAAATATTGAAGTGGATTATTTTACCTCCAGCATATCCTTCTTAGAACGTTCGACTTGATAGCACATCATCTCAATGAATTTTGACGGATCTTATTAGACTTAAGTGTGTTGTTAATGCTCCGTCCTTTTCCACGTGCGCTATTGCGTGGGTAGCAATAGGATTTTATCTTCATCATCAATCATGTGCCTACTTCTTTAATTCTTTTTAACTCAATCTTATGTTTATAAATTGGTGGCTTTGTATGTCGGACATTTGTGGCATGAAAGGGACCAGACACTAGCAGCGAATGTTTTTAATGGATGTTTTCTGAAAAGATTAGATGCTATTGTGGATTATTTTGGCAAACTACACCTAATCATGTCATTATGAAACTGAAAATGATTACAAATGATTGGCAAACCCACAAAGTTATTCATTCACATCATTTAAATATAATTTTCAAAACTCAAAACCTAATTCAGCGAAATTTATTCATGATTTAATATCAAATGCAGCTACCACAACATATTTAATTACCTCACAGCAGGGGCGTAGCCAGGAATTTGAAGAGGGGGGGGGGGGTACAACTTTTATATGGAAAATTCAGAGGGATTTTTATGATTTTTTCATAAGATTCCTAGCAAAATGAGAACTTTCTGTTAACGTCCCCCCCCCCCCCCCCCCCTGGTTACGCGCCTGCTTCACAGTCATTTTCATTATTATCAAACTTTATCGATGAAATCTAACGAATACTTAATAAACAGAATCAATAATGTCTAAAATTAAGCACACGCATTTCATTTCAATTATTTCTGTTTGCTTTCTATCAGCAAGTCGCGAAATAAATTTGTTAATTTTCTAGTCAAATTGAAGCAAGATATTCGCTGATTGTGAATAAATAAAGTAAATTTAATGTTTTACTTCAATTTTTTTAAAGCTATGACGATAACATGCCATCAATCAAGCTTCAAGCTCTTACAAAAAAAAAAAGCTCACTGTACAAAATCCTTGACTCATTCTCATGAAGAGAAAGAGAAAAAAAAGTCATTGATTATACTAAACAACTGTGTTACTCAATTGTCTTATGTATTTTTATTTCAATTCTATTTCTATTTCTTTTTTTTACAGGGAATGAGAATGACAGGCGAAGATTCCGAGACACTTCACCTCACACTTCTCGAACGTGAAAGCACAGGCGCATACTTGTGCTCAGCATCAAATACAGAAGGTGAAACACGTAGCTCATCATTGTATCTTAAAGTACAATGTAAGTAGATCTTTTCTTTTTCTCATTTTCATTTCTTTTTAACCCCATTTTGTGCAGAGTCATTTTTAGTCTTCAATATATCAGCTACAAATTGGTTCATAAATTTCAAACGTTCAAAGATGTTTAAACGAGATGAAAAAAAAAGCTTTGTTGTAAAAAAATTTATTCTTTTTAAAGTGAAAATTCTTTAAACATGGATTTCTTATTGTATCATTTGGAGCTTTTTAAGTGAGGTTGTTAAACTCTTTAAATGGAATTCATGAAGAGTTGATCATGTATAGAGTGGTAAGAGCTATGGAGTACAAACATTTAAGTGTGAAATCATAAATATGCGACTATGGTGCGACCCTAGTTTTTTTTGGAATATATTTCATTTGATTAAGAACAACCTCGAGGTTAAATGGCATCAGTGGCCTAAGTGGTAGAGCGTTGGTCTTACGTGCCAAAGGTTCTGGGTTCAATCCCAGGCCAAGTCAAATTTTAGAAGTTCTTTTTTGAATTTACCGTTCTACTTTCGAAGCTCGGTTCGTGTGCTGGTTGTAGTTTTGAGGTTTTCGGCACATAAAGGTTCTCCTTTGCTAGGTTTATTAGGATACACTAGCATCTGGATGATTTCGTTGCAGCATCTTGCACACACGTGATACATTGCAAGGAACATCAGATCTTAAGACGTACTCGTGTCTTTGCAATGTGCAGAGCTTGCAAGTGGTTCGGATTCTACTATAAACTGTAGGTCTAAAGGGTGTGGTACAATAGATTCTGTTCTAATTTGTAACGCAGTGCCTCCAGCTCAAAAAGCTAGAATCTCTCCATGCTTTGAGAACAACCACAAAGGAAAACTCATTTCAAAATTCTATTAAATTGAAGATCCTTAGCTGACATCCAAACATTAATATTTAAAAATTCAAAAAAAAAATTCATCATCAACATTAAATTACATTTCGATACTTCAACACATAAATCACTTCCATAACATACTGCCAAATAATTTGCAAAAGGATCTTCGTAGAAACGTCACAAAATCGATTTTACAAAATATATAAAAAAAAATAAGAATAAAGGAATGCGATTTATAGTGAATGATTACAGTTTTATAGCATATTTATATCACATGCACTGCATTTTTCCAAATGGATTTTTCCTTTCAATTTCATGCTGATGCTATTTCTCTTTCACTATCTTTTCAATTTTCCACTTCTGTTTGATTTAGTGAGAAAAGGATTCTCGTTCATCTCTTTTTCTTTTTTCGTTGAAATGATTCTCATCTTGAGATTGATTACATGATTTTGTGTAGTAATAGAAATGGATTTTCATTCATCTTTTTTTCTTAAATCATCTAAATGTAAGTTGGATGTATAACAAGAAGTAGAATAGAATTGAAAAAAAGTATGGATAAAGATGAAAATTAAATGGATTTTCTGTTTAAAAAGAAAAATTCGAATCTACACGGGAAGTGACTCGTTTCTTTGAATATTAATTGAAGGACTTTTAATGGACATAAAGTATCAATTCTAAAATAATCTTTCAATTTTTTAATGACAGTTTAGAGACAACCCAAAAAATCCACATTATGATTTATAAGATATCGAGACTTAAGTTAAGTGCAAACATTTAAGCGGTAGGCTTAAAAAAAGTGAACTTATGGATCAAAATCATTTCATTAGCATCGTTTAAGCATCGTACTTAAATGAATTTGATTCGTAGTATAGGGATGTGGCGACTGTGAGCTTAGTCAAAGTGCCACGAAAAAAGAACTTTAAATGTAAATTTTATAATTGACTCGATTGGCAAACAGCTTTGCTCAACCCCTGAATCAACACCTTGACACGATAATCAATTTTTAATTTAATTCAATTTGTATTTTTACTGTCAAACTTAGATTTTTTATAGAGAATGTATTCATAAATATTTTCAATGCTCAAAAGAGATTCAATTTTTTAACTTACTCTAGAAATAATAAAAATCATAAAAAACTACAACAAAGTGATTTTTATTATTGATAATCAAAGTTTAAAGCAATTTCCTTCATTTATTTTTCACTGTAAAACACGATGTAAGTTCATCATTATGTGATAGAATTCACTTTTTTATGACTCATTTGATGATCCAAATTGAAAAATTCTTTCTATTCGATTTTTATTGAAAATACCAAAGAATCGACAGAGAGATAAAGAAACAGAATGAACGCTAGCTGATGCACATCATGAGGAAAGTAAAATTGAAATTTATGAAAACAGAAAAAAAATAGAATATTGAATTCTCAATTCCAAGACGGAATGCTTTCTAGAAATTCGTTTGAATTTTATTTGCTTTCTATTTCATAATAAAAAAGCGATTTCCATTTGAAAGAACTTTGTTCTTAACAACATCTCTGGGAATTTCGTTTATGATTTTTTTTACGGATTCATTCAAAGTATCGAAGCATTGATTTTTGGAAAGTGCAGATTTTTTAAAATAAAAATCATACGACTGAATATCATTAAGTTGAAGAAAGCTGGATCGAAAAACTGAGCAGAATTTGAAGGTTAAAGTCGAGTTCTAATCTTAAATATATTGAACTTGGCAATCGTCTATTGGTAAAGAAGCGGCTAAGCAGGGCTATCAACTCATTGAGCTTGCAGCATCAGCTAGCAATCGCGTTAGATTCAAAAGTTTCGTAAACGCCCTACACACTCCTGATACAATATATCTGTCAAATTGAGATTCAATCTTTTTATTAAGTTTACACTCTGAGTGCACTTTGAAAGGTATATTCTTATTGATATACTTGATGCTGTATTGTAAAGTAATGTTGTGAATTTTTATAAAGAGAATAAATGGAAATTGAAGTTGATGCAACCATAAAACCTTCAGTATGATCAGATAAAGAAATAGAAATGAAGTAAACCAACAATTCAGCTAGGAACAGAAATAAAAAATACTTCAAATACTTTTAAAGCTTCATTGCTCAATATGATTGAATGTTATCTTGTCTTTTTTACGTAACTTGATAGATAGATAGATGAAGAGATGAGTTATTGTCAGTGTATGATGAAAGAAAAAGTTGCATTGTTGGAAAGTTCTTCATATGTGACATTACTTACTAGTATTTCATTATTATTCGTCTTCTATCTCAGTTTCAAGCAAGGCGAACATTTAGGAAACTTCTTAAGCATCTAAAACTTCTGGAAGCTTCTGGAAGTTTCCTAAGGTAAGAAAAGACTGCAATTCCCTTACGAGCTCCAATTAAGGAAATTAAACCAATACTTAGCATGTAGTTATCAATAATTACACTTCAATCTCATCATTATATCATGTCTTGTGAATTAAACAGCTAAAAACAAATCTTCCCAAACTTCTAGAACTTCTGGAAGTTTTTACATTTTCGGGAAACTTCTGGAAGTTCCCTAAGTGTGTACGCCTTAGTTTTAAGTCGACAGAGCTATCAAACTATTAATCCCCTCTTTAGTTTGATGTCCTCGGATATGATCGTGTTTATGTTCGATTTGTAGATGGATATTTTCTTGGAAAAATAGATTTATGTGTACTAGGAGAGTTTTATCATCAAGAATGTTGATATTTTCTAGTCAGGCTAAGAAAACATTTTTTTCTAGAACTGCAATCTTAAAGTTATCACATTGCTTGGTTTTAATATCCTTATCGGTTTTGGGATACTCTCCTGATTGAGCATAAAATCGACTTTATTAGTAAATTATACAATGCACATATGTTCATCTAGCAGAAATGAAAGTAGACCAATATGATAGCTTACCATTGTGCAAGTCTTCTCATTCACCACAAATAAAAAATCTCAAAAATAAAAAGAATAAAGAAACGAAAAGAAGCTTACTTGCATCAATAGTGAGTAAAAGCTAAAAGCTCATGGACATTGAAATCACATCGGGAGGATTAAGTCTTCACAAACGATGATGATGATGATTTCTTCTCGTATTCTATTTTTTCTACTTTGGAAATCCATTTAACGTGCAATGGCTAAAGGCTTACATAAATAAATATACACATACGTATTCATCCAAACATCCATCCATATGATGATTTATGAGGGATATTAGAAACGAATTGTATTTGTTTGAGAAATGAATGAACCACCATTGTAGCCAACGGCTATAAAGACTTCATCAATAATAAATATCAATTGACGCAGTATTGATGGGAATTTATGGATGAAGAAGATAATAAGTTGAATGAATGTCTTAGTGGCTATTCACTTATTACGTAACGATTTTTAGTGGATAGGAAAAAGTTCATACAAAAGAAAGGAAGTCGTGTTATGCTACGTAATTTATGAACAGCCCCTTTGCACAACAGACAGAAATAGAATAAATACTGAACGAAAAGATAGATAGGATAATATATATGAAAATGGGATTTTGATTGCAATCAAATAAAAATAAATTGCTAATGATGAAAAAGTTTCTGCTTCAAGTGCTTCTTCCTCTTTTCCAACAAAGTTTTCTATTTGCCTTTAAACCGTAAAATGATTTTTCTGGAAAATTCATTAATTGGTTGGCTCTTAAGCAGCAGATTTTTCGGTATTCATTTGTTTTTTTTTTTCAATTTATAAATGAGCCTGTTTTAGTAATAAAATCTAGACTGTAATGGCTAGTTGTGGTGAAGCTTAATCTAGCGTGTAAGACTCACTTTAGTCAAGGGGCTCAATTGACTCGTCAAGCTTTATACCTTCAAACTTATGCAGAGCGAAGCTCAGCTGGCTCGTCAAGCTTTAAACCAGTGTTGTCCAAACTGTGTGCCGCGGAACACTTGTGTGCCGTATAAATTTTTTGTAAACGTTATGAGCCGCTTGATGCGTGCGGCTTTGGTAATGGCTTACCTCTAAGGTGTACCGTGGCTCAAAAAGTTTGGACAACACTGCTTTAAACCTTCAAACTTATGCTGAGCAACGCTTGGTTTATTCACAAGACTTTTGATGGTACGGCGTGAATATATCCGCATTGGGTTTCAACCCGATACACTAATTTATAATGGTCAAGTGTTGGTTC